AGAGCCAGGCGGATCTCTGTGAGTTCGAGGCCAGCCTGGGCTACCAAGTGAGTTCCAGGAAAGGCGCAAAGCTACACAGAGAAACCCTGTCTCGAAAAGCCAAAAAAAAAAAAAAAAAGAAGAAGTCTTAGTAGGGGTCTAGTGGTAAAGTGCTTGCCCAGCATGCCTGAGGGCCCTGGGTTTGGTCTGCAATATTGGAGGGATCATTTTCTCTCAGAAACACTTTTTTGTTTGTTTTTGTTTTGCAAAACAGGGTTTCTTTGTGTAAGTAGCCCTGGCCATCCTGGAACTTGCTCCATTGACCAGACTGGCCTCGAACTCAGAGATCCACCTGTTCCTGCCTTCTTAGTACTGGGATTAAAGATGTGCTTCACCACTGCCCAGCTCAGAAACATTCTTTGAGGGGGGTAGTTTTTGTTTTATTTTTGGAGATAGCATCTTCCTATATAGCCCAGGCTAGTCTAGAACTAACTTTGAGTCAGGTTAGCCTCAAACCTGTGGTCCTGCCTTGGCTGTTTGTGTTAGGATTGTAGGTGGATTTCACCTTGCCTTTGCATTTAAATTGATGTGTTTGTGTCTGTAAACCTTTGTGAGCTTTTGGATTATGATTTTAGTTTTAGATAATTTAAAAAATATATTTCTTATATTTTTAAATAGAAGAGACTGTCTTGAACAAAGAGTAAAAGTAAAAACCAAAATCAGAGAACCAATGAAAAATTCATTCTTCAGGTTTTTAATAAAATTATATACTAGAAGAACAAATACTTGCTAGTAACTGTTCACAACCCTCATGATACAGTTGTTTTTTGTGAATATGTAATTCTCAAAAGAGAAAAGATACTTATTTCATGTACATGTATTAGGCAATATTGACTGACCTTCCTTCAAATTTTTTCCTCCCTACAGAATCTGTCTATGATCTTCTCCCAAAGGAGTTACAGTTACCTCCACCTAGAGAAACTTGTGTAGCATCAATGAGTCAGACAAGTGGTGGTGAGGCAGGCTCGCCTCCTCCAGCTGTAGTCGCTGCTGGTATGCATTTCATTTTACTTCATTAACAAAAACTAGCGTATTATCTGGCCAACATGAACAGTATTGGCAAAGTTCATATCAAAAAGAGTATGATTTGAGGGTTTGTTTTTAGAAGAGTTTGAAGACTATACCCTTTAAATGGAAAGATTTTCAGTGATTTTTTTTTTAATATATATAAAATCTTTAATTTGGCACATTAGAATGCTATCTCTTAAAATGGACCTTGTCTTCAAATATGGGAACCAGTTTAAAATGACTTTGTTGAGTGCACATACAAAGGTTAAATATCACGCTATGGTTAGAAAATTGTATTTGACCTTTTATTTAACAAATATTTTTAAAGACTTGCCCAAAGGGAAAAATGTTATATGATCTGAAAAAGGACTCAAGTTCTGAAGTCTCTTTTCTGTTTATAAGGATATAACCTTTTTCCTACACTTGAATATACATATGGCCTGATTTATTTTAAATTTATGGAAAATAATCGCAAAATTGAATACAATCTTTTATTTAAATGCATTCTCCTGTATCAGTGAAAAGCATTAAAAATGTTTGAAATTTGTTAAGTTTATTTTTACTCAGCTCTCAAATCATACACTTTATAACTACAGTTAAATTGGTTCAGACTTCTACTTTGAATTACGATAAAAAATGACAGTTAAACTAATAGGAAAAAGTCTTGATTAGTAATAAATTAGTATGAATGATTTCCATATTAGCTTGCCCAACTATAATACTTTAAAAAGTTGGGATTATAGGTTGCTAAATGTATTTGCTTTAGAAAAATGAATACATTATATCTTTTCTGAAGTTTTATCTGTGCTATAGAGGTTTCTTGCCTTGTGATACGTGTCATCTTTTAAAATAGTATTTAAAGTCTATCAAAACATTCACAAGGAGAAATCAAAAGGGAAGGCTGAGTCTAAATGACGGTATTGGTACTGTGTTCTAGCAGCAGGTGTTTAAATTCATACATGCATTAATTTATATACCTTTAGCCTTGTGTACCAACCTTTCTCAAACCAAACAGTGCAGTATGAAGCCTTCTTGGTTGAGGGCAGGAAAAGTTCAAACATGACAAGGAAATATTGGCCCTCCTCACTGTTCATGTGTGGCCAGACATTTTCTAACAGTTTCTGTGGATTTAACTGTGAATTAGTGAGCTTTTTAGTGATCAATTTGGTAAGATGATCTCTCATATCTACCAGATTCTAAAGTGACTCTAAATATTTTTTTTTTAATTTGGAGCTTTAAATCTGGTTTTTAAAGATTGAATCATAAAACAAAATAGAAAATATTTTAAAGAAGTATTGTTTCACTTTAAATCCACATGTAGAAATTGACTAACTGATTTCTTTTGTGTCTTGAAATTGTTTTTATAAGGACATTTTGAATTTGCATAGAACTACAAGTCTGTTTCTTCTGTGCTTTTTAACATCTGTTTTCAGTAGATCCAGTTCCTTTTAAAAGCTGAAAAAAAAGATAGCTAAGTTTAGAAAAAGAACACTTTCCTTTAAATAGCCACGTGTTTTAGAAATTCTTATGAATAAATATTTAAAGCCCTTGATTTGGGGTCATTAATGAAAAATTTTACTTCCTGTATAGTTGAGAAAGTCTTTCCAGGTAAATTAGATTAAAAGCTGTGAGTTGAAACATGAAGATAAAAGATGTGACCAAAGGAAATATTCTAAAGCTATCTGTGTGTATATATATATATATATATGTACATTTGTGGACCTGGGGATTAAACTCAGGCCTCATGCATGATAGGCAGGTGCTCTACCACCAAAACATATCTCCATCCCAGTAAATTCTTATTATCTTGAAATCATTGGCATTATAAAAATGGTAAAGAGAATAAAAAGGTAACGTTGAAAGTTTTCTTCTCACAGAAAGTTTCTGTGATCTAAATCCAAGTAATTAATGGTCTTTTAATTTGCATATCTACTTTTTTTTAGTAACCAATATAGTTTATTTTCTGATGTCTTATTAATAGAAAAGACTCCTTTATTATATACTGTTACAGATACGAGTTTCAATTACAGAGTAGTAATTGTAGGGACATCAGTATGTATTATATGTGACATCATTGGAGTCACAATTTTACTTATCAGATTGATAGCCTTGGTGATACAACTATCAAAGAGAAAAATGGAGAATATATTACCAAGTTACTCAATGTCCTTTTGGCCAGAAGCTTGATAGCTAGGGAAATGCACATTAATTTAAATATCTGATGTTTTTTAAAAACAAAAATCTGTAGCATTTGCTGTTTACATGTGAAATGCATAAAAATGATGACTCTTGATATAGTTAATTCTTCAGAGTTTTGAAGGAGCTGGATTGGCTGCTATCAGGTATGAGGGCCTGGTGGGAACAGACTTCTAGTTCTGCCATAAAGGTTTGTGTTTCACAAATTTTAAATCAGTTTAAATTTTAAAAAATTTTAGAGACTGGGAATATGTGTGTTCATAACATTCTTTATTAATTATTAAAAATGTGTTTCTCAGATTCACCAATGCAAATTTATTTTTCTTTCTCCTCACTTATTACTGAGGGCATAAATAAATGTGATGCTGCTGATCCAGAATCCAGAATCCTGGGTAAAAGGATGTTTCTCAGCCCCTTTTAACTTGTTAAGATTTGGTCTTTGTACTATTACTCCTTTACATACTCTTATCAGTAGTATCTTTTTGCTTTGTGAGACCCAGGGTTAGGATGCGGGAAGATGAGGACAGGAGGCACAGTTCCTCTCCTATATGAAGACAAGGTCAGAACCTTTCATTAGTTTGAAATTTGTTCACCTGCTTGTTTTTAAGAATTCTCTTGGGAAAGTAGTTAAGAATTTGAAGTTCTATATGTCAATAAATGATAGATTCAGAAATGAAAACTTTAGACAGTGTTGCAAATTTTATAAAAAAGTAGTTATGACAGAGGCTATTTTCTTTTTTTTAAAAAAAATCAATGAATTAATAATATTAGCAAAATGAGTTGACCAAGAGAAATAAAAGTTATAGCAACCGAATATTATTTTTAATTATACATTTAGAGTTTTAAATCCTGAGATTTGTTTATAATAATAAATCTTTCATGGAAATCAGTATTAACCTTTATTATCTCAATTTAAGAAACCAGGTAGAGCCGGGCAGTGGTGGTGCACGCCTTTAATCCCAGCACTCGGGAGGCAGAGGCAGGCGGATCTCTGTGAGTTCGAGGCCAGCCTGGGCTACAGAGTGAGTTCCAGGAAAGGCGCAGAACTACACAGAGAAACCCTGTCTAGGAAAACCAAAAAAAAAAAAAAAAAAAAAAAAGAAAAAGAAACCAGGTAGTAGCTGGAGAGATGGCCCAGTGGTTAAGAGCACTGAATGCTCTTCTAAAGGACCGGGGTTCAATTCCCAGCACCCACATGGCAGTTCACAACTGTCTATAACTCCAGTTCCAGGGGATTTGACACCTTCATACAGACATACATGCAGGCAAAACCCCAATGCACAATCAATCAATCAACATAAAAAAAAAGAAAGAAAGAAAAAAGAAACCAGGTAGTATACCTATAATACCAGCATTTTAGAAATGGGGGGAAAAGTAGTTCAGGGGGGAAAAGGCAAATTAATTTGTCTATTTTCATTTGGGGGATATTTGATGGGCATTATATTTCTTAGTTTATATTTAGAACAGATTGTCTTCAAACTCCGGGGTTCCCCCTGCCTTTGCCTCTAGGGTGCTGGGATTATAGGTATGTGCTACTACATCCAGTGTGCAGTTCATTGTATAGCTCAAGAATTTGAGTTAAAAATCTTTCTAGAGTCCATACCTGCCTGCAAGGATGGCTGCTAAGTTTGAGGCCAACCTGAGCTACTTAGGATGACTGTCTCAAAACAAAAACAAAACAGCAACAAAAAGATACCAAGAATTGATAAAACTATAAGTTTTATAATTCAGTGAAAAAAATTAATAATTAGTATATAATTCATTGGTTTCATTGTTAGTATTTATTTTGAATCTCCAATTCCCTATATAGACAAACCTAGCCTGGAACTCCAGATCCCTTTCCACCTGCCTCTACCTTCCAGATTCTGGGGTTGCTAGTTTGCCTCTTTTAGAAGCAGTATAGCCTCAGTACACTAATCCACAAGGCAGCTTTTAAAAACATGTATAGGAAGCTACAGTCATAAAGCTTGTACAATAGAATCTCTGTTGAGGCCTAGGGAGATGGTAATAGTGCTTGAAGACCTTAGTTCAGATTTGCAGACTCTATGTAAAACTTGTTGCATTGGTACATTTCTGTAACCTCGACTGGGTGGGATGTGTGTGTGTGTGTGTATATGCAAAGACAGATGGGTCTCTCAAAGGCTCCATGGCCATCCAGTTTAGTCAAAAATGGCAAGCTTCAGGTTTAGTTTTTAAAAAAATCAAAACAAAACAAAAAAACAAGCAAAAATAACCACAAAACAAGTCTCAAAGAAAATAAAGTGGAGAAGTGATTGAGGAAGATTATCCTGGCTGGTCTCCATACACTCCCACATAAGTGAATACAATCCTGCCCCCCCACACACACACACACAGAATACATCATATGTACACAGTCTCCGTTGTATATTTCCATTATTAAATCAGTGTAGGGTTTTTATTCTGTTCTACTTTGGTTTGGTTTGGGTTTGTTTATTTTGTTTGGTAATTTTTTGTTCTATAATATTATGTATTCCTTTTTTTTTTTTTCCTGAGACAGGGTTTCTCTGTGTAGTTTTGGTGCCTATGATGGATCTCGCTCTGTAGACCAGGTGAACTCACAGAGATCTGCCTGCCTCTGCCTCCTGAGTGCTGGGATTAAAGGCGTGTGCCACCACCGCCTGGCTTATTTATTTGTTTATTGAGGAATGTACTTTCTGTAGTGTGCATGTGAAGGTTTGAGGACAATTTTTCAGAGTCAGTTCTTTCATTTTGTATGGCCTAGGATCAAACTCAGATCATTAGGCTTGGCAGCAAATTCCTTAACCTGT